ACTACTCTGTGCTCACTTCTATTACTGGGCAGCTCTGTTAGCGACAGACTGTCCTTGTACACTCATTGTATTTTCAGTTCAGATGAAGCAGATTGGGCATTTGTACTCCTTGATCAGCTTGTCTTTAAACACAGTTTCATGTTGTAAAACTCTGACACTTTGAGTCCGGCTGCTTTTACTGGGTGTCACTTGCCAAAATTTGAGAAGCAGAACGGCTGAAAAGTCAGTGTTTCTCTGTTTTATGCATCTGCACAATAGTCTATTGAATGCAACCCCAAATGTTTTCAGATGTATGAAGACTGCATATAAAGGAGCAACACAATAGAGCCACATTGATCTAATCTAAACTTTTTATCCTTGGTACTCTGTTTCTACCCTTTTGTGGCTCTTGCTCTGAGACAGGTGCAGGATTTCAGTTAGTAGTTTTATCTGCTCTAGTATGGCCACCTGGGGACTCTGATACCTACTTTACCCACACCTTGCAGAGGGTTTCTCTTTGAAGGATCCTTTCACATTCTTGGCTGGTTAGATGAGGGCTTATGAGTGGCTGGCTGCAGGAGATTCCTGGAAGAGGGCCAGCACTTACAGCATAGCACGCTTATAGCCAAGGACGAAAGACTTTAAAGTTAATGTTCTGTTAGTAGACCAGAGAAATGCTCACTTACCAGACACACATCTTGGGAGGCATTAGAGAGAGGGGGAGAGAGAAAGGCAGGAGAAAGGAGAGGCTTTCCACCACTTTGTATATTTTTCATTAATGTGTCTATTATACATTGTACTGTATGTTCCCCATAGGGACAGTAAGCATATACAGGAAGGGTGGGACTAGGAAAAGAGACAGTGAAGAGACCTTGTTGATGTCTTTGGCCCTGCACCTCTAAGGATCTTGTGTCTTCTTGTCTTTGTGGCTCCACAGCTGCTTGTCTCTCTGATGTTGTGCAAAGGTCCTGCCACAAAAACCTAACATCAGTCTCTTCTTCACTTCACTGTCTCTTCATTTGCACTTATTTTTTACTTGTTTTGCATCTCTTTTTGTGAATTTGCATGTATCTGTACTTGTTTTGTGTTTGGGGTTTTTTTTCTTTTTCTTTGCAGTCATTTTTTGTTTTATGTCTTTTCTAGTGGGTTTTGTATTGCTTTGTAGCTGTTTTGCACCTATGGGGGCGGCTGTGGCCCAGAAGGTAGCGCAGGTTGTTTCCTAAGCGGAGGATTAGCGGTTTGATTCCCAGCTTGTCCAGTCAACGTGTCCTTGAACAAGACACTGAACCCCCAGTTGCTCCCTGTGATAACACCAGTGTTTGAATGGGTGAATGGCCAAGAAGTGTGAAAGCACTTTGAGTGTGCTGTAAAGCAAAGAAGAGCACTCTACAAGTACTGTATATGACCATTTACCCATGTTTTCTCATTTTGTGACTTACTGTAGTTGT